GGGTTGGTTTTGTATGCTTTACCTTCCAGATTTCTGCCCGCTAAGAAATTGGATAGATCGTTCTAAATGGCGTGAAAGTCGAAAGTAACTAAAAATTCTTGAAATATTCCGAAAAAAATCTGAAGTACACACAGCCGCAGAGCTCGACCATCTAACTACCACGCACCGTGTAACATAGCCGCAGAGCTCGACCGTCACATTTATCACTTAGTGAGAGGCTACCAAGGTCCTGCTACATCCCAGTAATTTTAAGACAAGTGCTGGATTTATTATAATCCATTCCTGAAATCTGACCACTCACTGTTCACTGTTGATCTGATATTATATGACACTGGTCTTTCAGAACTAACTGTGTGTAAACATATAATGGACAGTTGCTTCACTCTTGTACATTTCCTGATCATGAAGGCGATAGCAGTCTCTGAAATGCTGGAAATTCTATGCTCACATAGGTGATCACCCAAAAGACTTTATGCCATTCAGTTGCTGCGAAGGTTTCAAATCTTAAACATTGATACATGATGCAGAATTTGTTTTCATTCCATTTTGAGAAATTATAAATCACTTTGATTGGTTTAACGTTTAATACAGTTCAATATTCTGTACTGAATTTCTTTGATTATAGATGTTTGAGATTTTATAGAGTAATATATTGTTTATTCTGGTATTAATATACTGATGGATGAAAAGTTGCATATCTTTAGGACTTCCATTGTAACGTTAAGGTCCTAAAGCGCACTAAACGAATTTTTTTAAAATTTTGATGACAAATAAAAAAATCAAAATTTTCAAAAAATCAAAAAATGTAGGAAAATGTCCAAATAGCGCAAAAACCAATTTTTTTAAAAAAATCCGAATTCAAAATTTTTGTTTAATATTTCGAAAATTTCCAGTGTATCTTCGTTTTTCATGCCATTTGCAATCATTTTTAATTATTTTAAAATTTTCGAAAAATCAAAAAACGTAGGAAATCGTTCAAAAAGAGCACAAAACTGAGAATTTTTGAAAATTGTAAACTTTTAATTTTTTTCGAATTTTCCGAAAATTTTAAGTTTTGTGCGCTTTTCAGAAGATTTGCAGCGTTTTTTGATTTTTCGAAAAATTTGAATATTTTTTCCAAATTTTTCGTGACCCATTCCTGTCAGAACTAGACTCTGGATATATGAGAACCTAAAATACTATTTATATGTCTTCTGGATGGTAACAACAGGTGTTTGATTTTAACCAACAATTCAACTAATAATCACATAATATATTATCCATAGCTAATACTTATGCTCTTGAAAGCTCACCGTTTCCAAATTTCAGTGTTCACTATGACATAAAAGTTAGTTTCATTACACATTAAAACATGCAAACTTAATGACCTTGAGTGCATCAAATGGTATAACAAATGCTGTTCTGATGACATCAGTAAATATTGTGTTAAATTTTGTATAAACTAATTTAAGATTTTTATTAGGATAAAGTGAAACTCCTATGCAGTGTTGGTACTTTTAGTGCAAAATATTATAAGCAATGACTGCAATTAGCTCTAATGCGGGAGAATTAAAAATACAACCAACCAGTAAGCCTTTTCAAACACTGGGGCGTTTTGGTAGTGCATTACACCGACCCTCCTGCGATTTCGGAATGGCGTGTGCATCAAATTTTGCCAAAGACTCGCCAAAACGGCTACGGAAACCTATGAAATGCTAAAGCAAGCATTTGGGGAGTCCGCAAACTTTTGTGTGGCATTCACGTTTTGAAAATGGCCGAACCTCTGTCGATGATGACGAGCGTTCTGGACGACCATCTTCGAGCACAACGCCCGAAAATGTTACGAAGATCGTCGTCGTACCATCAACGACTTGTGCGACCTTGTTGGGATAGGCTATGGGACCTGTCCGCTGATTCTAAAGGAAGAACTCCACATGCGACGCATCATGACAACGCGCCAGCGCACACCGCCCTCAAAGTTCGGCAGTTTTTGGCCTCAAACACCATGGCCGTCATCCTGCACCCTCCTTATTCGCCGGATTTAGCTCCGTGTGACTTCTTCCTCTTCCCACAGATGACAATTCAGCTAAAGGGAAGGAGATTTGAGACGATAGAAGAGATTCAGGCAGAATCGCAGATGGTGCTTGACAGGCTGACAAAGAAAGATTTCCAGGGATGCTTCCAGGCTTGGCAGCGGCGCTGGGATCGTTGTGTTCACTCCCAGGGGAACTACTTCGAGGGTGATGGATGAATTTAATACCCGAGATAAGTGTACGGGTTTTTTTAGTTTTATAGGCGCAGTCTTGAAACTTTCCGATCGCACCTCGTAAGTACTTCACTATGTGTATGCACAATCTTCAAAATCACTTTGGCAGTTTCCTAATCTTACTTTTATGGCATTAGATCCTTATTTTCAAGAAATATAACAAGACAATTGAAAATGTAATTTAACAACAAAACACACCAAGTGAAAAAGAGTTTATGCACAGTCACATCCAGACTAATTTTGCATCAAAAAATATTGCTAAAAGAGACAGTAGTTTTCTTATGAATATAAAGTTTTGTGATCAAATTTATTACATACAGTTAAACATACAGATGCTGCAGAAATATACTGGTATTTCTCTCACACATATAACAGAAAACTGGGATAGCATGTACTGAAGTTTCATCTTGTCTTGCATGTAAACATTATTTAACTTACTCAACACAAATTTGCATTTGGTATGTTTTGTCTGTAGTGGTAATAAGTAGTGATTCCTGCAATTAAAGCTGGAAAATGCACGTAGAAAGGTGTGTTCCAACTACTTCAGAATACCAACCTTCAGTGCACAAAAATTATTTAGCATGAAGAGGAAGATGCAAATACAACCAGGTGTTTCAAGAAAGCAAGGCTGTTTATATAAATACATTGTAGTTTGTTTTCCGAAAAAATGATTTATACAAGTATCAGTCAATAACATCACATGATCTACCAACTAATTTAGCATCAATGCTTGATTATAAAATAAACAATGTTATGTTATGTTTATGAACTGAAGTAATGAAAAATGTAATCTTATTCAGATATAAAACTGCCAAAAAAAATGTGACAATTTTTTGTTCTATTATACTTAAACATGTAATATTTAGTCTTTCTGTTATGTCAATCTTCTCATCTCTTCTAAAAATTATCTTTCCAGTGCAATCTAAACAAACTACTAAAACCACAAATAAACTGTTTTAATGGACCAAATCACAGAAGGAACAAATTGATTATTATTGCCTATTTCATATGTATATATTATGTATGTATTAGTAAGTAAATAATATATTTTCACGTTCTTCCTGTAGTTATTCACGAAATATTAACATTTACAATGGTGTGTACAAATAATCTACAATAACATACAAGTCTAAACAGTACGCATAAAAGAATGCTACATGTTTGTAACAATCCATGTTAAACTTTTCCTACTGACTATACGTGGTATCTTTGAAAATTACATTATGAAGAATTTACTCCAAGCAACATTAGTTTAACAAGAATTGGTGCAAACAAGGCAAAAACGTTGTACTTCTTACAAGTATATATAAAGCAAACAATTTAATCGTTTTCTTCTACCCATGAGCTATTTAAAGGTTCAAGTTTATACAGACTTACATACTTACACTCTTCTTAGATACTAACAACACAGTTTCTCATTTAGAAAATTTAGAATGTTTACATTTTTGTTCTTTAAAAACTAGAATGTGGGCTGCTTAGGACAGAAAATGGTGGTCCCTCAAAACTGAGGACAGCAGCTGATCATATATACTCCAGTAAATAGCTCTATAGTACATAGGGTGGTTCAAAATAATCCATATCACTCATAACAAGCTGCATATTAATGTAACATTCCAGTCAATGGAATCGCTCTTAATTACTAACAGTTACTGTTATATAAACAAACCACATGTACAGATTCTTAGGAACATTTCTATTGTAAGGAACAGAATAAAGTTAGAAAGAGGATATCTATATAGTTCAATATCACAATAACAGTGCACAAAATGTACTTGATACTCTCCACAATATTTATCTCCACTTACACACGTACTGTATTTCTTGGATTATAAGATGTACCCAGATTTTAAAGGGAATATTTTGAGAATGGCAGATGTATAATTTTGGTCTAAGACACACACGGTCTTTAGGCAACACTAACAGGCAGGCAAAAAGGCATGTGTTATGCTTTGGAAAATGCGGGAATTTCTCAAAATATAACTACATTCATCTGACTTATAAGGTGGCAGTATACTCAACTTGAGTGCACATAAGAAAAAAACATAAAAGACTGAACAAGTAAAATAATTTTGCCTACTGTGATACTCTCTTAACTTCGAAAAAACATAAGGTTTACATATCATGGGATGGAAATCACCAATTTCCAAAGCTTACTATGTAGAATAAGCCCTCAGAAATGTAATTCTTTACACTGCCTTACACCACCCTGTTTATTTTTGTAATGGAGACATATATAACTTCATAGTTCTCTTATTTCAAATAATACTTTACCCATAAAAATTAATTATAACAGAGACTGTTATATAAAAATTGGCAACTATATATACTCTTTTAAAAATTTGTCCAAATTTAGTGAAACATTTTGATTTATTAAGAAACTGCAACAGTAATATTTTGTTTTGATTTTACACAAAAGCATTTACTGTCAAATTCCCATTCAACATTCCTAAGTTAAGGTCATGCCTTACTTAATGTTCAATGAGTGTAGTCTCATCCTGCCATAAAGTTTGCCTCACTTCAGTGCCTCAATGCATTGGAAGGAAGTTTTTGGTAGTTTATCTTTGCTATATTAGTTATACTACCAAATCAGGAACAACAAATGGTGAAGATTACTGTATTCTGAAATGCTGTGCTATGTAGTATGGTGAAGTTTACCTCACTCTGATGATGGAGGAATCAAGCACCTGAAGTATCAGTAAACTTCTATCACACTACTACATGGCACATCACAGAATACAAGCACCGACATTCTGGCACAGCACCTGAAATGTCACCATAATACGCAATATCTCTGTAATATAATTGAGCATTGCTGTTTACATTTTCAAACTCTTGAATCTTTGATTCACTGTATTAGAAACAGAAATGCAAAACTGCATATTTTGCAATGACAATCTTTAAAACACATTATAGTAATGTTAGGCAGACGTTATTTCTTTGAACTTAGAAATGATGGGAAATACACATAAAGCATAGCACATTTTGAGAAAGACTTCACAAAACTTAACATAAACCACTATGAATAATTAACTCCAACTAAATAAAATGTAAAATTTGAAGCTTCATGGTAACTGAATGCAATGTATGATGTTAAATGTTATGAACTCCATTCTCACATGTTTGATCACCAAAGAATACATTCCAAATTTGAAAATAGCATTTATCCTTATGTCTCAAATGGGGGGTGGGGGTTAAAAGAATATTTTTGCCTTATAGCACATATTTCCCACAAGTTTATTTCACAACAAACTGGCCTTAGTTATAAGCAAGCGACAGCAGCAACAGCTAGAAAATATTATATTATCAACACAAAGAAATATTAATATATTATACAGTAAGACAATTTTAACACATCTGCCCCCATATTGAAGTACGATAATACAGCACTGCTCTGTCCACAGCTACCTTGTAAGGATAGCAACATGCTACAAGAAATGAAACAAGACTGGAAAAGTCAAGAATACACTACAGTTTAAAAGATGTTCTTTATGTCACATGTGATATGAAATAGTCATAAGCCACTGGTAGATAGGAAGTGCCCATAAAGTTTTTTTCATTTAGGTTAAAGAATACGGGATTCCTATGTGTCCTTTCAAAATATGCTTTAAGAACACAGTTTTACTTTCTCCTGCTGGATGGTATATGCAAAGTTACCTTCTGTCATATTTTCAAACAGGTAGCCAACAGCAGAGTATTGGGAGTGATGCTATAAAGCAGTGATCACGTGTTCTAAAGTTTTTAATTATAATTCACTGTAAAATTAACACATACATCACAAAATAAGACCAACTTATGGTGTATTTATGAAAACACAGTTCATTTAGAATGTATGGCAATGGTGTGTATGGGCACATGGCTTATGGAGTGTATAAGCCAGATTAGGTAGGGTGTCCCACAAAGTTAACACTAAGCAACCCACTTTTTATCTCTCAATATACAAAGTGATAATAATTTGTGGCAACAGTAAGATATTAAAAAGAAAGCTGGTTTGTTTTATATTTCTTCTTTATTGTTCAGGTCAGAGGCTTTCACATACGAAGGAATTTTATGTAGCTACACCACTCATTTTTAAAATGTACACATAGAAATCCGTTTAGCCCCCATATTTAGGGTTGAGAATTTTGGGAGAAATAAGACCACATTTGTCTGGAAAAAACAAACAAACATTCCTTTTCACATTAATACCCCTTTTCACAAGCAGCAGCTAATTTAATGGATGAAATGTGGCATTCAGCAGGTTTGTTTATGCACAGTAAATTTCTGTTTACTATCATGTCTGCTACCCTTAGTAAGGCAGTAAAAATATATTATACGAATACCAAGTAAAAGAACAGAGAATAAAATATAATCTGAATGTATGGTATTTCTTTTTTGTACTTCATAAAGAAATCTGGTGTCATACTAAATGAATTTTCTATGTGTTTCTTGAAGAGTAAATATTAAGAATATACAAATTATCTGAACCCCAATTTCCATCAAGTGATGTAATGTGTCTTGTTGTGATATAAACTAATACACCTGTCTCCATGGAAAATATTCTCCCAGGTTGTTCAGTGAGCTTAAAGCAAGTGAGAAGTTGAAGATGGCTGTTCCTTGAAATGCTGTGCCACGTACTCTGACATATAATAACTGATATTCCCGAGGTACTTACTGCCTCCACCATCAGGGTCATCCTCATCATCACCATCATCCTGGTAATGGAGGCAGTAACCACCTCTGAAATGTTAGTTTATGTTTACTAGACAACATGGCACAACAGCCCAGAAGACAGCCAACTTTATACTTGTTGCCATGAGAACCTGAAATCTCACCTGACTGAGAAGCTGCTAATCAGGAGGATAGTACCGTCATATGAGATGACCCAATTAGTAAATGGAAGGTTGAGAGTTAATTTTGTGGGTAAAAAGTTCTTACTGGTCTTCAATTGGCTTGATGGTGCAGTGTTTGAGCACAGACAACTTTTTATTGTATTTATGCAAATATAAGCTGCATACATTTTTTTTTTTTCAAATTTACATCTGAAACTAAAGCACAGCATTGGATTAAGATGTATTGCATTATGGTTTCTGATGTAGTGAATGAAAGCAAGTATTTCAAAACAGTAGATACATAAACCACTGTTTCATAGAAGAATTTATGAATGTAACTGCATGAACGAACAGGAGGTTAAAAAAAAACTTTGTTTGGAAGGCCATGAGAGCTGTTCTGGCAGTGGATCGAGTTCTTGCCCTTGAACACAAATGGGTAAAGGGGTTGCAGGGAAGAAAATCTTTAACCAGCCTAACTTTCGCAGTAGCTGCGTAGAGCATAAAAATAAATAATCAGCACAGGGGAAATTATGTTCCATCTCTTTCTATCAGCATTTCTCTTTCATGCAAACACTGTTCTATGTGCATAGGATTTCAGGTTTTAACGATGGCGAGTCTGAAGATGGCGATGAGTCATCACTCTGATGATGGAGGCAGCAAGGACCTCTGAAACGTCAGTAAACTTCTACCAGACTACATGGTGCAACAACCCAGAAGACAGCCATCTTTACTGTTCTATCTGCATGGGTAGACTATGCCAACACCAGACACAGTAGAGGGTGTTCACACTGCAATATCTGCAGCCAAACAAATATAAGCTGTTTGGTTTTGTTACACTAACTAATACCAACTATTCTGATGAATAATACTAGAAGAGAGTGAGGCATGCTGTTTCTTTCTTTTGGTCTCTCATTTTAATGGTCATCATCTGCAGATATTATGTGACTACCACAGGCACATGTGACTGGTTGTCATGAAATTGCTGCAACAGAAATCTTTTAGGTGCACAAATTGATTGTAACTAGAACTTGAGCAAAATTTTGAAATCCTGATGTGGCTTACAAATGAGATTCACTTATTTTGTTTTCTTAATAAAAGTTAGGTGCAGCTTATATTCACATAAATACAGTAGGTACTTCATTCTGTTTCATCAACCTACAAGTCTTTTCTTTCAAAGGGACAGATTTTTCTGCACATCTTTAGATCAATGTCACAAAGTACTTACCACATATGACAGAATAAGATTAAGAGCATACATTAAAAGCAGTATCCATGCACAGATGCAACATCCATTAAACTAAATAAATTAAATCGTATATAACACGTACTATGTGCCAATTTCAGGGTACTTGATTTTTTTTTCATTTTTCAATGCTGAAATGTGAAGTAACTTGAAACACTTTTCCCAAGTCCTTTATATATAATGAATATTTCAAGCATCACATCTGTTCAAGTTATATACATTACTTTGAACCACCATGCAAATTATTTGTCAATGTGTAACTCATCCCCTCCCTAACTGATATATTACAATACCCCTGTGCAGCAACAGGAAATAACAATGCATTTCTGAAGGCATTTTGTGCTTGTAGGAAATTTAAACTATACATACAACAAAAAGAAGTAGTCTATTATAAGCGAAGTGGAACAGTTCTCAATTATTTACAAACTGCAACTAGTAAATGAACACAGAAAGAAAGACTCAAGACATTTTATAAACACATGGAAAACTGACAGCACTGATATGTAGAAGGGCATAAATTGTACACTTATTCATTTCCAATAAAATACAGTTTGATACGTCCATACGTTATATAATGACGATCAAGGATTATTATCACTTTATGGGAGTGTCATACAGGAAAAATAATGTAGTTCCTCATTTTATGCTTGTCAGAAGAATAAAAGTCATAAAAAGAAATTAGGATATATCTATTAATAACATAAAATTAAAACAATTACATATAAACAAGACATTATTTCACAGCTGATCCTGACTTCCTAACAACACAAAATGCCTTAAGTAACTGGTGTAGAGTACATGTAAATGGTTCCCAAACTCACTGCACTGCATAACACCATCACATAAAGAATACCCACAATAGTGTGCACCGTAGAAGCAAATGCTTCCAGACTGCGGAACTTTATATAAAATTCATATTTATACTAAACACATTCTACAGCCATTCTTGCAAGAAACAACTTTTGTTTATAGACTGCTTTCATAAGCAATGGCAGTTTTTAAACTCCAGTCACTGATATTACCATTAATACCTGATCAATCTATTTATTTATAGTTTATAAATCAATCAACTCTTTAATCAATCCACACAGCCCTACAAGTAATTAACAGAAAATATACATTTCCTCTGATAATATGGCATCCCATATCATTTTTTGTTATACACATTACAAAGCATAAGTTGGGAACCATCGACCAGCAGTTGCAATTATAATGATCAACTGGAAGTAGCCTCTTCACCAATGTATTATATACAATTCACGTACATTTATGTAACATACTTCTTTTTAGTTTCTTTGAAACCTACAACTTGTAGTAACTGATTATTTTAAACATCAGCCACTAGGTTGATTCAGTAATGAACAAACTGAACACTGTAACTTACAATTACTATCGATAATATACTACCACCCTTACATGCCTTTGACTGAACTTTAATTTCCAAACCTCTTGGCAACCTAGAACAAATACCAAAATATTTAAATCAAAATTTTGTTTGCAAATATTTTTTCATGATGGTTTCCTTGTGATTTGTAGAAAAACAGCAAATATATTACTCTACTCTTGCCACCCTTTTTAAAGATAAAAAAGATATAGAAGGACAAATTCATACCAATAAGAACTTTTTTACACAAGTACTTAACAATTTCAGAGATTTAAATCTCCAACTGTGATCTAGACTGGTAACTGGCTTATTCCAAAAGATGATTCAAACAGTGCAATGTACCTCCGTGAGAGAATGACGTCAATAATTCCGCATCCTAAGGACCTACAGAGGGCCTTTATTATGGCCATCAACAAAAGATCTCTAACACACGACGTCCATTTGAAAGCCGATTCCTTTCAGGAGGGAGCCAACTGTTCTGACATACTGCCTTGGGCATATGACAGTATCAACCAACCCAGGGATGCTCAAAACACAACTGTTCCATAGGCAGACCTCATTAGACAGAGCCCAAGTATCTAGAAGTACCAGGAGGAAGCTTTAAACCAGGAACAGGCGTAGTAGTACTGGAGGCGTATGGCAACTGGGGTACATGGCACTAAGTCTAGGGAGTCCGTGACCAGACTGCCTGAACGGCCAAGCTCTGAGGGCAGAACCCTAGTCAAGAGGTTAACACTCTGATGACCCAGGGACTCTATAAGACCAGAGACCTTTAGGAAGGTCTTTATTATGGCCACCAATAAAAGAGCTCTTTAACACAAAGATTCCATTGAGATCCTGCTGTGTAGGACACTATAAACCATGGAGGTATGGGGCTGCTAACAGAATAAGAGAATGAGGAGGTCTATGTAGTTCCTCAAACAGAAAAAAGTGTGTTTCACTATGTAGAAAATATAAATCTGTTGTTGCAAAGTTTAGATATGATATTTTGTTCATATTTCAACAAATATTCACCTTGGCTTTCGGCTTCAATATAACATACGAATGAATAAAATCAAAAAATGTGGAAAATATTCTATGCCCCCACCAGTAAAAAATGTCAATATTTTTGGAGTAGTTTCCAAGGGGACAGAAACAAGGACACAGACACAGGTTCTCAGCTGTATGTTCATTTTATGTGCTTTGTGGCAAAGAATGTATAAAAATAGTGCGATCTAAAACAGCGTTCAAGAAAGCAGACTTGATTATGACAGAAAATATTTCTTTGAAATCTGATGGTGAGCTATTCATCCTGTAAACATGCAAAATAAGCAGCAGGATGAAACCTTAAATTAGGAATTTCTTCTCATATTACTAGTTCTTAATAATAATAAACAAACTTTTTGTAAACTGCATCCACATAAATTTTACTGACAATGAGTAAAACTATGAAAACAAAGGCAAATGAGATACAATGCAGCAGAAGAATCGTGTACCACGTATCTTCTATATGTAAAAGAACTTACCTTTCAAGACAAGTGAAATATGTTCACAGTATTCAGAACTTCTTACTACTCGCAGTTTTCGACTTCTGTTCTAGCTTTCTTTCCCTCTTCGACCACAGTAGTGTCAGCCTCGCCACCTCCAACTATAAGGGGTGGCGAACTGTCATCAACCTCTGAATGAAGTCTTTTCACACCACCACTACTGCCAACCTGGTCCAAACTGCTGCTGCTACTACTGCTGCTGCTTCCACCACCAGATGGCACTGTAGGGGCTACAAAGGCTCCACTGAAATGTAACGTGATTATTACCAACATGCTCAATTCTATTTGAAACAAATTTTTAATGATGGTTACAGATATAATCTTTCAAGCACCACTTAAATTCACTGTTTCCTGACAAGATTAGAACACTTCATTTTATTACATTCTATTGCAACCTAGCAGAATTGAAACCTGAAAATTCATACCAACTAATGTGTACTAAATAATGTGTTCTTATCACACTATTACACTGTTGCTCGAATCCGACACCACAGACAAGTCCACGGTGAAAAAATGGACAACTGAAACGTTACACAGTTCAAAGCTAGGATTTTTGCCCCCAGTACCTTGAATTAACACGGTCTTACTGTATAACAGTGCTTTGCACATAGGAAGTTCTCAGCAATGAATATGGATCAGAAGTTCTCATGGCAAAGATATCAATTGTCCTCTGAAACATTCTTAACCCCACATAAGACTGCAGAACATCACAAGTCAGAAGACCAGAGATGATATCAATAACTGTCCTCTAAAAAATGGTATGGATTTCCTTTTGTTCCACAAATCAATTACACATCCATAAAAACTGATGAACAATACAGACGCTCCCCAGGTTACGCAAGACTCGACCTTATGAGAATTGTTCCATAAAATGCAAATGAAATTTTGTTGTTGTAAATGTTAGTTTTCTATGCTTACAGCAAATTTTTTCTGTGTTTTTATTTTTCCCAAGTTTTCATCTTTATCACAAAGTGCAAGCATGCATGCACAAACACGCACACATACATATGTACACAGACACATTACAGTAACAATTTCGACTTATGCAAAATTCGGGTTGTGCAAGACCTTCCGGGACAAATCAATTGCATAAGTTGGGGAGCAACTGTATATAGTTTACAAATTGTCTGTTATTACTAGTGGACTCTGGATTTATTAAATTTAGTACCTACATTTTATAAGACCTGAAAAAATTATACATATGCAACGATACTGTCAAAAGTTCTCTCACAAAATATTGCCAATATCAGTATCAATACAAATCATTTACCTATAGTTTGTGTAAGCAGCCTGGACTATTACAGGTGCTTGTGAATACGAAGCCGGAGATAATGATCGTTCTTCTGCCACGCTAACAAGGGTAGCTGCACTATTCGGGACAAGGTACTTTTCTGTAACGATACCGAACAGTAGGAGGTTATATCCCATTTAATGTCTTATCAGTCCTGTTAAGATAAATTTTAAAGACATTTCTTTGTTTATAATGTTTCCATCTCCAGGCCTGGCCCTGAAAATGGATGTTGGTAACTACCTACCAGTCTACATGACACCACAACCCAGAAATTCATCAAAATTTCCAATTGTATCAATTTATAATCATTATATATCATGAAAACGGTTTGCACATAAAATAAGTCAAATCATTATTTCAAATATGATAAATTCAAATGCTAGGACCAGAAGCATAAGTTGTTCTCACCTTCACGTGCCACTTCTCCACCCACACCGTTGGTCACGACAGTGATCTGCTGTGCAGGTAGCATGAGTCGAGACTTGCTTACCAGTGCCACCTGTTGGTGCTGACCCACCAGTCCACTTGTAACAAATGTTACTCCTACATCAGAAATAAAACACAATACATGATCCAGCATGGAATATGGACCATTTTTAGGGTTTCCTTGAACAAAATTAAAATATGATAGTGCAACTAATATCTGGTGAATTATAATGCCTAAAAAATACACCAGCTTCTGGAGTCAGTCATGCACTCGTGCAAGGCAGCAGTAAACGAACAGAGATCTTACTGACTTTTAGTATAAATAAAAAATCAAACACTATAATAATCTTACTGCAGTGATAACTTAAGTAGTGGTAAGTGACAGAGCAACTGGCATTGTCTATTGGTGAAGGGACTTACAAAAACACTGGTGTAATGCCCCCTTACCTGGATGGCCAGGAGAACCAGGTGCCGACTGACTTGTTTTGACTTCAAGGCGTGTTCCATGAATGACAGGAGAAGAGATGGTGCTGTCTGGGTATGAGTCAGGTGTAGGTGAACCCTCCCGTGAAAGCGATTCTGGTGTCATAAGTCCACTCATCCCAACATGGCTCGGAGATGCCGGAGCACTCCTGAAACAGATACCGAACATCACACTCAGCACAGACGTAAGTCACTGACGAACACCATCTGTAAAACTCCAAGAGTGCCCGTTGCATTCTCCTGTAAAGAGATCTTAGCAAGAAATGTAAAGACAATGAATATCTGCCAGTTCTGACACGGTCTCCAGCTAAAGAACCTTTAGGTCTTAATACCAGAAGGATAAATATTTATAGTGTTCTGTCCACATACATGGCTTTTATTAAACCATTACAACATTTAGTCCCCTGAAGATAAAGCTTGCCAAACTTACATTTAAAAACTCTGTTGGCAAAATATAGAATTACTAATTGCTAAAACAAGTGGTACATAAAGTTACCACCGAGTCTTAAAAGGTTAACTGAACCAAATCAACTATTTACCTAGAAGAAAGACCAAATGGGGCACGAAAACAGGGAACGCCTCTTTGTCTTCTTCTTCTGAAGGCCTGTTCTATGAGTTTTGCTTCAGACTGTGGGTCAATACGCCAAAAGGAGCCCTTCCCCGGTTCTTCCTGTGACCTTGGCACCTTGATGAAGTACCGGTTCAGTGACAAGTTGTGCCTAATGGAGTTCTGCGCAACAAAAACATTCAGTATAAAACTACAATGAAACTTTGAGATAAGGGATTAAGAAAACCTCAAACCTTCACACCAATACACCATTTTTACTCAAAAAATGAAACCAGATATAGGAAAGGTAAAGGTAAAGCAGTACCTTGCAGTTAACCAAGTTCCATGCATTTTTAACCTTGGCATAAGGAGGTGATCGGTCAGCTTCAAGTCCTACTTGCTTTACCCCCGAAGAAAGAAAAGTACCCACTGGATAGAAGGCTGGGCGGGTACAGTGGTTGGTAAAGTAACCAACCGTAGGGTGGTTGAATTGGGTTTCATGTGCAAGATCAGTAATTTTTTCTTTTCCATCATGTCCAGAACCACTGCAGCCCACACAGCATTCAATTCAACGGATGCTACAAGATCATTATTTGGAGTTATAACAGTCAGAGTATGAAATCGACTACTCGCCGTCATCTAGTGCTGAGATTATGACTGTCTCGATGTCTCCTATATAACTTCACGGTGCAATGTTTAGGAACGTCAAAATTTTCCAAATACTGAATAAACAGGCTTCCAATAATTTTGCAGTTGCAGCTTCTGCAGGCCCTAATTACTTTAATTACTTTGCATAGGAGAGCACCACCAGCTACTGAAACATTGTTGATGCTAATAAATTAAAAGTTTGAAACCTTGATAGCCTGCATATGACTGCTTCAAAATAAATTCACTTTTTTGGTATCAATCTACTGAAATCCCACCACTTTCTAATTTTAATAATATATAATGAAAAGATCACATCACACTACCATCTAATTTTGTTTCACTAATAAATTTCCCTTCCTTTTATTTGTACAAGATTCTAGATGCAAGAAACCAGAGTCAAATAATAACAAATCAGTTTTAAAAAGTATCACATGCATTGTTGTTAGGTTGACAGTCTGTCTATAAAACAAGTTTTATGATTATAGTCTCAGGGTTTAATAAAATCCGCTATGTGTTTCGACATTAATACGTCACCTTCAGATGGTTCTCTTTAACTGGTCAAAACAAACAGATATGAATGCTGAACTGTACACATATTTGAATCAGATAACATTTGTGCGGATCTGTGCGATTCAGGCTTCAGTTTCGTATCCCAGACCTCATGCTGCCATTGTTACGAGTAATTATAATTAATAATTGTACATGCCTGCCAACCCTTGTCAGCTGTTCTGTAGTATGGGTAGTTTTTTGTGATATAAGAGTAGATCCCGCTCAGAGTCAGCTGTTTGTCTGTAGCAGAAGCTATAGCCTGTACAATTAACTGGGCATATGAATAGGGAGGTTTGGAATCATCCTGGAAACAAATAATTGCAATACATTATAACTTGAGGCTGAAAGAAAATTCACAGATATGAAGTACAATTATATCTGAACGTTACAAAGAAAGAATTCATTGCAAGACATGTATTAGGAGTGAAAAACAAACACTGTGATTTTTATCTGTATTATACAAAATGTCATTCAACACTTTTCATAAGTAAATTACTAAATGACAAATGCCTTGATAATGGAAGCAGCAAGGACCTCTGAAACGTCAGTAAACCTCTACCAAACTACACAGCGTAACAACCCAGAAGACAGCCATCTTTAGATATAACTTGTCCTTTGTTTGTATATTTTCTGCACTTTGAGCAAACACACAAAAATATGTCTCAGCAGAAACAAAGTATCTTGGAAAACAATTTTCTATAAAACTGGCACTCATCTGTTTTAGAATTTTGAAAGCACTGAGAACAATTCAGGGCTACCTTTGGTGGACTGTAGGGTTCTGAGACGGACGGTGGAGGGCAGGAAGTGGCTGTTCCATTGGGCCCACTTGTCCGGTAAAGCTTATGACTGGCATCCAGTGCTGCTGAATGGTGGTTATCTGGACTCGGCACTGACGTAGACATCGTAACACCACTATGACTAGAAAAAAAGCTCACATTAGAGACATAAGAACTGTTGACAAACCAGTTCAGAAGAAGTGTACACAAACATTCTCATTCAAACATTACCATCAAGACCTATTATGCATTCCCCAAACTAATGAATCAACAGATGCTGGTCTAAACTAACAGAGATTTTGTACGAACCAAGTAAGTCTGTCAACCACTGATTAGACACACGCATAATATCATCATTTTTTAAGTTCAGTAAAGTCTACACTTTAAGTAAGAAATTTGTAAACTCTCAAGATTGAAGAATTTCTTCATTGATATGGTGATATTTGGAATCTGATCATATACAATGGCTTCATAAAGTGAAGGCCAAATGAACATGACTTTGGAACAAACCTGTCTTCTGCGGTGCTTGATGAAGCAACAGTGATGGTCTGCAGTGGCCCACTGTTTCCTCCTACAGCAACAGCTGCTGCATATGCAGCCACCATTTGCAGGTCTGAAGTGACATTGCGCCGGCCATGACCATGCCCCCCTCTTGGACTCGCTGGACAAGAGTTGGCAGCACTGTAATCATACAACATTCACCACTTCACTGTGTAAGAATGGTGCATGTAGAAATACTTGTCTCCTGTTGGTATATAGCAGCCAACCGATCTTCAAATATGAAGTACTTTTGTATTTTTAATATATAATATAATTATTTCTATCAATGTAGATGAAAACCATTATCAATGTTTACCTCAGGTCAAGGTATGGCTATACTAAATCACAAGAATCTGTCTCAGTATTTATTTCAGTTGACTTCAGTGTCGTTTATTATATGAGGATTTTCAAGAATAATTCTGTAAAATTTCTCATAAACCAACCAAAGTACTGGCTACCACTCCACTGGAACTTGATGTGTGGATAACAGACACAATGGCTACAGTTTCCCTCAACTTGTTTAACATCGTGTACATATTGAAAATGAATGCAGACACGATATCTGCTTGGTCACTCACAGTACCCTCACTAAACATCTGTACAATGAAATTCACAAAATCCTTATCACATAACCTTCTCAAATGTGTTCAGTCTTCATTCCTGTATATTTTAGTTCAGGATAATATTATTGTAAAATAGTACATATTTCATGTGTACAGCCTGCGTACCACAAGCACGACAGCACAAGATAACACTGCACACTTTGTTTCACAAGTTATGTAATGTATCACACGTAGGATATGTCTTCACCACTAAAATGAATTAATAACCACCGGGATACTGGGAATGACCCGTTTTTCAAGTGCCTGAGCACCGCGGGTCCCAACTTTTCGTTGGCTTGATCTATAGACATTTTGGTAGGACTCCTTGGACGAGGGATCGGTCCGTTGCAAGGCCTCTGCCTGTACACAGGACAGCACAACACAGAAAGACAAGGACAAACATCCATGGCTTGAGTGGGATTCGAACCCACGGTCCCAGCGACCAAGCGGCACAAGGCCCAGGCCTCAGACCACGCGGCCACTGTGGACCCCGAATTAATAACCAATTGTCAAGAATTCTTATGCGGGTATGACTCAGAATATCAATTCACAAGAACTTAAATAAATATATAATTTGACTGTTCACTACTGACAGAAGGAAATAATGGCATGGCAACTTAATTTGTCTACCTGAAAAATTATGCAATTTTGAATCTTTTCTTTTAAAGTGGCCACACTAAAGATAAGTGTGATGGGAAACATCTACAGTCACCATCTACCTGTACACACAAAATATCTTCAACCAAGCTGAACATACGCTCAAGACATTAACTATTGAATTTAAACCTTATTTTGGTCCACAGTAGACAATTCTGGCCACAGCTTTACATGACACTCGAATTATGAACATTTTATAAAATTTCATGATACATAAATTTGTTAAAATTCAGATAAATTATGCTCCCAAGTACAATGTTTAAATGACTTGGCCTTTGCCTATCCGGTGAGCAACACACATTTTTTTAGACACAAGCACACATGTAATGAGATTTCTATTTGCCCCAAACTCAACAAAAACGTTTTAAATACATTACTAGAGCTGTTTTTGAGAAAACGGCCATCCATGTCTAAAGACTTGTAGTAATACAAATACTTTGCATATGTATGCACTTATACACGCCCACCTCTTGGACAGAGTACACTAATGCAGCAAATAACTGAAGAGTTCAATGTTTCATTCAAAACTAAAAACTACAGGTAAGGCAACATTTAATTCTACATATTTATTTAATTATCATTGATATTTTACTAACTGTTTTATTGAATGCTTGTATGTATTGCTTTGCAACACAAGTAATGAACTAATGTTATGCATGAGAATCCATTTTGAGAAGCTAAAAGGAGACTCTGTTAGTCTACCTTTCATGGAACCCCAAGGTTCATTATTGTGTAGACAAGAACCCACAGTAAATATAGAACATTAATTTACTGACATAGTCACCACCTCTCTATATATTTTTATTCCAATCATTCATCAACACTCTAATGCCATAGTGCGAAATGCTTCAGCTTTAACAAATTTCACATTGCATATGAAGTTTGATTCTGCTGCTTGCTACTTTTAAGGATTTGAAAGATATGACTGTCACTCAGTGCAAAGTCTAGTGAAGTAAGGTAGGCATGGGAGAACTTATATGGGTATTCCCACAATTTATGCCTACCACTGACTTAATACATGCAAACAATACAGCTTGGGATATACAAACATTTGATAGTAGTACAATGAAGGAAATTTACAGAGCTGTATAACACATTACAAGAGAGAAAATATTTGTTTTTCATACCTGATTGTGCCTGTAGGTGATGGAAATGGACTGTTGAAGCTTACATCAGGATCAGGAATATTAATCCTAAGAGGGGGCAGCGGATCTCTTGATCTTGCAGGCGAGGTCTGACGAACAGTTACTGGAGGGTCTGCCTCATCCACCAAGGACTGAAAGACCAACCTTATGTTGGTGCTTGGGAAACGGAACGTACACCTGGCAATAAAAGTATTGCTATTTAGAGCAGTAAGTCTCTTTTATTTTTCAGAAAACTGAAATGCAGAAAATAAACAATCATTACTTTTGGGCAATGGCATACAATTTTAGTTTAAAGCCATATTTAATTACGTTGCGATTATGTGTTGACATTTAGTATAGGCTGGAGTTATGGTTCACACTCCTACTTTACGTTGAAGATGGACTATTACAACTTTTTAAAGAATGACAATACCAGGATGATATGTAAACATTTTGAAACTTCTTGCCTGGAGCAAAGACAGCAGGGTGGGAGTAGTCACAGCTAGTCTCGTGGCCTTCAAGTTAGTAAACAGAACTCGAACTGCCCGACCCTCACAGTGTATGCCCCATGTTGTTTATAGTTTCAAAAACATGCCAATACTTACGTTTTCGGTAATTGTAACGAAGGAGCTCCTTTTCTTTGGAAAACTCCATCAACAAAGACACCATTCTTTCCATTACACAGCATATAAAAATAAGGATGTTCAAAGAATATTTCAATATGTTTTCGCGAAATGAAACTGGAGTGTCCCATGTTTACATCGACCTCGCCTCGAGAACTGTTTCTGCCAATGGTAATCCTCTTCTGACGAACCATATATTCGAACTCCCGACCTTCTAGGCGAGCTATTGCAGTTCCGTCGCTCTCTGGACTCCATTGAAGTTTTGAAGGACTAGCTGGGGCTGATTTTAGGGCTAAAAGAGCCCACGCATCACTCGCCTCCGGTCGCGAATGGTCAGACATCACTCGGGGAATATGGCTTCCTCAGAGCCGATGAGGATAGTATGGATGTTTACCCATAATCCAAAACGTGGGTGGCCTTAACCACGTGACGATCACTCTGCGTGTTTAGTCTTTATCGCAAGGAGATACAAATTTTGAAGCACGTTCTGGTACCGAAATATAAATGTAAAACTAACATGATACAAAGCACAAATTCTTGCAACAATAATTATAATAATAATTAATATTTAAGAAAATATAGAACGACAGATTATTTAGCACAGGCTGTTTTGTAATAGCGTGTATATTAACAGCCACAACGTATTCAACTTCGCATCTTCCAATAACAGATGTATTTTAAAAGTACCATATATACAGTCCACGACTGTAATATTGCGACTTGCGGGGTGAGGAAGTGGGGGTGAAGGAGGAAGGACTTCCTGCATTCCTTGCAAGTCTCAAGATTACAGTCGTGAACTGTATGTCTTGTTACGACTGCAGGTAACCCTCGATTTACGACGGAGATGCGTTCCTGGACGAACCGAAGTAAATGGAATCGGCGTAAATTGAAACTCTTTTTATAATGTAAATCAATGGGAAGTCAATGACATGCGTTCCCGGCACCCAAACATTGACGAGTAATATAATGACATTACATTTAAAGTTCTGAAATAACGTAAATAAAATAAAGAAATTTAAAAAATATATTTTATACACTTACAATCGGCAATTCGCTGGTCCCCGCGATTGACTGCGATTCCTTCATGTGATTGATGTGTACAGTCATCTCTGCTGTTATGCAATAGTTGCATTCATGTAAGACACCGACCTATAGAAAATCGCATAGTAAAAATAACCCCGGAGATTAAATTAGTCCTTTGAAAGTTTAAAGCGCCAGGAATGAAACTGCATAAGAGCAAACTCGCATATACAAACTTTGCATTCACAAACAGCTTTTATCGATTCATCGATCTCATTGAAGCAAATTCGCGTTAACGAAACATACTTAACTGCAGAGGTGACTGTATTTGTAATTTTTATTCAAAATCAGCGATGTAAGAATTACGATTTAGTACAAGAATCAGTACGAGAAACATTGTAAAACGTTATAAATAATAGTAAAATTTTTTTTTTCTCACTTTTTGACTTGCTTGTTTCAAAAGCGGCGTTATTCTGAATCGGCGCAAATCGAGGGTTACCTGTATACACGTAAATTATGTAAACATGATGCTCAACTTTAACTTTTCTGCTGCAGTGGCAACTACATGTACTACAAGATTTAATATAAAATAATTGTGCATTTTCCCACCGTATGATTACATTTATGGCTTTTGATTGATTCTCAGAATAAACAGCCAATGTTCTCATAAACGACATTAAACAAGTGATCTCAGTAATGGAGACACGTGTTTTCTTTGAGTTAAGAACTGTGTTTAAATTTTTGTTTTGTAAATGAGCTGGTGCATCAGAGGGTTGGTCTGAGCCTGAGCCAATATGGACATTGTGGCGAAGAGGACAAGATTGGAAAGGCATACTCTTTGAAGTACACTGAAATTTCGGATGTTTTCACTAAGTTGCTTTATTAATAAGCACAGATGAAAGGAACTGTGTACCTAGATTAATCTTACTCAAAAGTAATAACAAAGGAACCATCATATCAAACATCACTGTTGGGATAGTGTTACCAGAGGTCAAATTTGTGACCCAGTGTTGCAACAGTATATCCCAAAAATGAAAGTTACAGAAGTGTTGTAACAGTATTCCAACAATGTACTTAATCCACAATGTTGCAACATTGTTCCAACAGTGCATTCTTGTGTACAGTGTGTTCCAACAATGATCCAGGACAAGCTGGTTGCCTATTTCCTAAGTAAAACATGATGAACAGACCGACAGGGTGTTCTTCGCTCATGCTTAAGTGTGAAGGAAACCTAAAAATCCTGCTCTTTCAGGAATCAAACCCCAGTTATTCAGTCTGCAGCCTAGTCACTATAAACAACAGTATAACAAGGAGCTTCATAAGTTGTACTCTTCAGAAAATAATATTAGGATGGTAAACTCAAGGAGCAAGAGATGGGCAGAGCATGTAACATGTATGAGGATGAGAATAGCATACTTGATTGGTTGGGAAGAGACCACTAGGCATAGATGGGAGGGTAACATTAAAATGGATCTTAGGGAAATAGGGTAGATCAAGAAACCTCCAAAAGGAGGCACCTATGCTGCACAAGGAGCAAAAGGGTAAAAGAAGACATGACTATAAAATATTAAAATGCAACAACATTAAGATTACATGATTGAAATATATATATTATTATTTATTGTGTATTATTTATGTCAATCATCCAACTGACAAAGACTGGCAACCCCACGATTAATCCAGTGTTCTTCTGGCCTTGATGAAAGTAAGTCCACGTACATAACGAAATTTGTAGAGTGACCAGTTGTTGATAGGATTCCTCTTCGTGCACTGGTCTTGTATACGGGACAGTGATAACAAGGCACTTGTGTGAATTTTGCCTGAAATGTTGCGATTTACATTACTACTATAGTAGAATAGGAAGACATATGTCTGAGAAAATTTATGTCACTGAATTTGTCAAAAATTATACCTTAAGTTCTGAGAAGTAAATAATTTCCCATACATTTAACCGTAATTTGCTTTTAGGAATAAGCAAATAAATGTCTTGAATTATTTCCTTTCTTAATGTATGTGTCATTAGAACTGCTGAAAAAATGTAGCTGACAATTTAGTAAAATTTATTAACAAAATAAGATATTTTTGTTTTTTAGGAATTATAGGAATACAATTAATTCCCTGTCCTTTTACATAAGTCTGCATTAGTCTTTTGTTGGAGAGAAACATTTCATCTGAAGAATTGCCCTCATGATGGAGGCAGCAAGGACCTCTGAAATGTTCTACCAGACTGCATGGTGCAACAACCCCGAAGACAGCCATCTTTGGACTCCCCACTGTGAAAACCTTATACTCGGCTTGTTCAGAATTTATTGATCTGTGTGTTTCTGTGTCTCATATGAATTTCAAGTACTTACCTTTACACCTGGCTTCAACCAAACAACTGGCAAAATATCATAAAGAATTTTAGGAAGTGATTCTCTCAGTTCTGTCTGTTGTCTATCCCACCAGGCTCCTTCCAAATACAGACCCTGAAAGTTATAAACCTACATTTAGCAAAATAATACATGTCCAGTGATTGGAAGAAGTAAACTTGTAAGAATCTGGCCTTACCTCAATGAAGACATCAAATTCAGCCTTTTGCTGCATGAAAAATAAACATTTATATGCAAATGTCACAAAAGAGAAGCGATTAAAGTGGCTCTAACATGCTTGAAAATCCGCAAGAACATATAAATCAAAAGTTATAAAACAGTATCATTATTTTTGTCTGTCACAGTCCACAATTAATGTGTTGCAATCTTGACACAAATGACTGTACACTAACCCTTTGCTGTGCAGAATATAATAACAAGAGCAAAATGATATGTCCTCTGCCATGCCATATAAAAATGTAAAACATGGTAAGATTTTGTCGATGTTGGTCTGAAGTCAGCTATGAAAATAGAGACAATATGTTTCTCTGAAATGTTGGTATTTTCCTACAAGTGCACTCAGATTTACTACCCAGAAGACGATCACTGACATCTACATTTTCACCAATATGAAAATTTCAAGTGGAAGGATTGTTTTTATGTTCTTGGAATTATGATGATAGTGATGATAATGAGGAGGAGATGATTTGCTCCAAGGCTTCCAGTTGTGGCTGTTTCTTTGTCTTTTATATTTATTCTTATAATATTAAAAGTTTTATTTACCTTACAATAAGCACCAAATGAAGGGCTGTCCTTTGCATCCATTTCTACATTCAAAATTTCAAATTCAAAAGCAAGATGATGAATTGGTATCTTGTGTTTACGGGAATAATTCTGTAGGACTCCTGTAAGGAATGACTGTGTAAAGTAGAAGCCAGACAGCCAAAACACAACTGGTGTGCCATGGTCGATCCAGTCCTGCAGGAATTTTAACCTGTCGAAACAACAGATATGTGTTAAACATTACTACCTATTACAACATGGAGAAACTCATTTGGAATCCAAAACTTCCTATATCTATAATTTTTAAGTTTAACAGTTAATGGACAAAATGTTTCCGGCTAAATAAATAAGATTCTGAACTTTATGAAGAAAAATTCACTTCTTAGATTAATTTATGTGACAAAACTTAGTATCATTGAAACTGGTACTCTAGGTTTGTATTTCTGGCAAACACAGAAAAGGTAATATGCACTGTGTAGAATTTGAGGTTTTCACAGCAGTGAGTTTGAAGATGGCTGTCTTCTGGGTTGTTGCACCGTGTAGTCTGGTTTAAGTTTATCTTAGTATGTACTGTTTATAGACAGAAAGTAATGTATTTAAAGTATTTGTTTTTTTTAAAATCGATGCGGTTAAAAGATATTTATTAAATGGGCATGAGCTGAAATATAGTGATACCTTTCTTCTGTTTCATCATATTAATTATAAACACAGGCTTCAAAGCAGATTTTTTCTCATAAATGCAAGCTTTAAAATAGGAATTGAATTACTGAAATGTGTTTAAGCATAAATAGAAGATTGACAACAACACACAAACCTGAGATGTTATAACGGTCTGTTGTTCCTAAACTTAAATTCCATATTTGATAATACCAAATTTTGAAACAATATTTTGGAAGGTACTATATGTGTAATTGCCAGATGAACATATGAATTACAAATACCTTATGAGAAAGTCAGTGACGTAGCTGCCAAGAGGTTTGAGGGATGGATATGACCTACTGGTCCAAGCAGTAGGCACTTTTCCCACCAACATACTGTTTTGAATTTCCTCTAGCTCAGGTGACATAACAACCTCACCTTTCACAGCTTTCTGCACATTCACCAGCGTCTCTCGGACAACATCAATAAGTCGGTTGAACCGAACAAGCTCCTTGACAGAGTAATAATAAAAAAAACTCATTAATAAAGTCATGCAAGTACATGATACATATGTCAGTGATGAAGCATGCTATGAGACTGAAGGGGATAAATTCAATTAAACACATTAAGAAATGTGCTGTAC